AATGTACAGGTCCTGAATAACTGAGTGTAGTCCAAGATAGCTGGAGTAAAGACATTTAGTTGGTTATAAATTGTGTCTGAGTAGTCATCTCTGATGGGTACCCATAACACTAAGTGTCAGCTCCTCATATCTAGAAATGCATTTTACCTGGAACCCCCAATGTCCACATCTATCTGGATCTCAGCAGAATTTTCTAGCAGGCAATACACAGCCACCTTACTCTCCTAAGAATTAGAGAGGAAACAGAATCAAGGAACAAAACACCCACCCAAAAATATAAGACCAGAGATCAGCACCTAAAATTATAATCTTCCCAAACTCAGGTGCCTAGATGACAGCATATAAATACAATCAATAACAATAATGTGTCTTCACAAAAGCTCAGCAATCCTACCAGAGCGGGACCTGAGTATTGCAATATAGCTGAAGCACAAGAAAAAGACTTTAAAAATAGCCTTTATTAAGGTCCTTAAAGAGGAATGAATAAATCCCTTATAGAAATCCATGAAACACAAGCTGTGTGAGAAAATGAAGAGTTCAAGACCTGAAAGTGGAAAGAGAATTGTGGGGGTCTCTGCAAACACTATGACCAACAGAGTAATGATCAGTCGGAAGCAAGAAGGCAGTTCAGTTAAATGTGACCCAGTAGCTGTTGTTGGTTCAAACTTTGAGAGTCTGACCTCAAGTAGTTTATTTTCAGCATATTTAAGCTCAGCATAATTTTGGTAAAAGTTTCCTGGTGATAATTAACTCAATCCTGTATATATAAAAAAGCTTAAAACATGACTAAATTGAAACACATGTGACATCTTCCTAAAAGATAGTTTCTATAGATTAACTGAGAAAAAACAAGCCCATGATAAGTGTCTGGGATAGAATCCATTGTGATCTGAGCCACACAGATGGCAAGAAGGTTATCAGGCCATTAATCACACTTGCCCCCATCCTCTTGTGCAGAAAACAGGTTATACATTTCTCCCTGTGAAGAGACAATTCTGTATGTTTAACATTTCTGGTTTTCCTGGTTCTTTTCTGTGGACAAGAGCCTCCATGTCTCCTATACAGAATTAATAAAGAAAACCCAAACTGAGGGAAATCTGGAAATAAAAATTTTAGGAATTTAGGAATTTCAGAAGCAGGCCTCACTAGCTGAATATAAGAGATGGAAGAGAGAATCTCAGGCATTAAAGACAAGAAATGGTAGAAGAAATAGATACATCTGTCAAAGAAAATGAATGTTAAATCTAAAAATATCCTGGCAGAAAAATCAAATAAATCTAGGACACTGTGAAAAAGATCAACTCTAAGAATAATAGGAATAGAGGAAGGAGAAGAAACCCAGATCAAAGGTACAGAAAATATTTTCAACAAAATCATAGAGGAAATTTTTCCTAACTTAAAGAAGGAGATGTCTGTAAATGTACAAAAAGCATAGAGAGCACCAAGTACACTGGACCAGAAAAGAAAGTCCCCTTGGCACATACTAATCAAAACACTAAGCATACAGAACAGAGAAGGAGCAATAAAAGCTGCAAAGGAAAAAGAGCAAGTAACATATAAAGGCAGATGTGTTAGAGTTACACATGACTTCTCAATAGAGACTCTAAAAGTCTGAACAGATGTGTTGCAGACTTCAAGAGACCACAGATGCCCTACCAGACTACTATACCCAGCAAAACTTTAAATCACAATAGATGGAGAAAATAAAACATTCCATGATGAAACCCAATTTAAGCAACATTTATCTATAAATTCAGACCTACAGAAGGCATTAGAAGGAAAACTCCAACCTAAGGATGTCAACCACTCCCAAAAATACACAGTGAATAAATAATCCAAGAAGAGCAAATCAAAACAGTAAAAACACACACACACACACACACACACACACACACACACACACACATACACACACACACACTCACTAACAAAATAACAGGAATCAACTAACACTAGTCATTGAGATATCAACATCAATTCCCCAATAAAAAGACATAGACTAACAGAATGGATGTGAAAAAATTCTATCCTGCTATTTCATCCAATAAACACACTTTAAAATAAAAGATAGACATCACCTTAGGGTAAAAGAATGGAAAGAGATATTCCAAGCAAATGGGCTCAGGAAGGAAGCTGGTATAGCTATTTTAATATCTGACAAAATAGATTTCAAACCAAAACTAATTAGAAGAGATAGAGAAGGACAGTGCATACTCATCAAAGGAAAAATCCACTGAGAGAACATTTCAGTTTTTAACATCTATGCACAAAACACAATGGCACCCAAGTTCATAAAAAAAAAAAAAAAAACACTACTACTGTTTAAATCATATATTGACCAATACCTCTCTCTTGCCAATAGACAGGTCAGTCATTCAAATGTTGGAGCTAACTGACATTATAAACTAAATAGACTTAACATATATTCATGGAACGTTTCACCCAAACACAAAAGATTATACATTCTTCTCAGAACCTCATGGAACTTTCTCCAAAATTGATCAGACACAAAGCAAATCTTAATAGATGCCAGAAAATTAAAATAACACCATGCATTCTATTGACCACCATCTATTAAAGCTGGACATCAACAACAGAAACAAAAGGAAGCCTACAAACTCATGGAAACAGAGAAACTCTACTGAATGAAAAGTGGTTCAAGACAGAAATTAAGAAAAGAACTGAAAGACTTCCTATAATAGAATGAAAATGAATATACTACATACCCAAATTTATGGGACATAGTGAAGGTGATTCTAAGAGGCAAGTTCAAATAGCACTAAGTGCCTACATTAAAAAAAAATTAGGTACATATCATACTAGTAACTTAACAGCACACCTTAAAGACCTAGAACAAAATGAAGAAATCACCCAAAAGGAGTAGACGACAAGAAATAATCAAACTTATGGCTAAAATCAATAAAATAGAAGCAAGCAAACAAAAAAACAATACAGAAAAAACCCAATGAAACAAAGAGTTGGCTCATTGACAAAAATCATTAAAATTGAAAAACTTGTATCCAAATTAGCTGAAAGGCAGAGAAGATCCAAATTAACAAATTTAGAAGTGAAAAGGGGACATAACAACAGATGCTGAAAAAATCCAGAGACACTTTCAAAACCTGTACTCCACCAAATTGGAAAACTTAAAAGAAATGGATAATTTTCAAGATATATACCACTTACCCATGTTAAATCAAAAGCAGATAAGAAAATTAAACAGACCTATAACCCCTAGTAAAACCACAACAATAATTAAAAGTCTCCAAATCTACAAAAGCACAGGGCCAGATGGTTTTAGCACAGAATTCTCACAGATTTTCAAAGAAGAATTAATGTCAATCCTCTTCAGTTTATCCCACAAAATAGAAACAGAAGGGACATTGCCCAATTTGTTTTACAAGGCCACTGTTACCCTGATACCCAAACCACATAAAAACCCGACAAAGAAAGAGAATTATGGACCAATTTCCCTTATAAACACGGATGAAAATGCTCAATAAAACACTTGCAAACATAATCCAAGAACAGATCAAAAATGTCATCCACTATGATCAAATAGACTTTATCTCATTGATGTAGGAATGGTTTGTTATACACAAATTAATAAATGTAATCCACCACATAAACAGACTGAAGGACCAAAAACACATGATTATCTCAATAGATTCTGAAAAGGCCTTTGAGAAAATCCAACAACCCTTCATGATAAAAGTCCTGGAGATGTTAGAGATTAAAAGGACACTTGTTCAACCATGTTCATTTCTGATCTATTCATAATAGTCAGAAATTGAAAACAACCTGGATGTCCCTCAACAGAAAATGGGTAAAGAAAATGTGGAACTTTTACACAATGGATTATTTTTCATCTGTGAAAAATAATGACATCATGAAATTTGCAGGCCAGTGGATGGAAATATAAAAAAGTTATCCTGAGTGAGGTAAACCAGACCCAGAAAGACAAATATGATACGTATTTACTTATATGTGGATATTAGCTGTTTATTCAATGATAACCAAGCTACAATCCATAGTACTACAGAAGTTAGGTATAGGGTAAAAAACTTGTGGATACAGATCTTATTAGGAAAGGGAAATAGAATATATAGAATAGAATATATAGTTATGGATATGTGGAGGAAGCTGGAGCAGGAGGATCAAGTAGTGAGGTGGAGGGGAGAGTGGGATGAGGTAGGGAATATGGGGAAAGTCAGATAAAATTAAAGGCCATCTCAGTATGGAACCTAATAGGTTATAGATGGAAGAGTCTAACTCACCTGGTGCTGCAACTATTCAGTTACAAATAAACACACAGAGGCTTATATTAATTATAAAACTGTTTGGCCTATTGCTCAGGCTTATAACCAACTAGACCAACTAGCTCTAACACTTAAATTAACCCATTATTCTTGTCTACATTGAGCCATGTGGCTTGGTACCTTTTCTCAGTCCAGCATTCTCATCTTACTTCCTCTGCATCTGGCTGGGGACCCCATCTCCCCTTTCCTCTTTTCAGAATTCTCCTAGTCTGATCACCCTGTCTATACTTCCTGCCTAGCTACTGGCCAATCAGCATTTTATTAAACCAATACAAGTGACAAATCTTTACAATGTACAAGAGCATTATTCTACGGCAATATGTTATGTATTATAATAGGTAGAGCATAGTATGGAAACTTAACACAGTAGAAGCTTTCTAAAATTTATACATATATGAAGGCAATCTAAGTGAAATCACCAATAACAGGGGATATAGAACTCCAACTATCATCTCTTGTGACTAAATGAAGCTTCCAGTACCAGGATTGGTTTACATACAATTGAGTTGTTGGCCAAAGGGGTCCTATGGAAACCCAAAATATCCCAGGCTCTTGCTCTCTACAAAATGAAGGCAAAATTCCACTGCTGAAGACAGCACCTACTCAGCTCATTGAATATGGAGAAGTAGAGCTGGTGCCTACATAGAGTCTTCACCTCTATGTTTTCATGTCTTTGTACAGGAAGATACTCTGCAGGCTACCAAAGGAGAAATGAAAATACAAACCCAGTCATATACCCTTTGATCTACAGTGGTGTTCTGCATGAAGGATATGCTAGGGCAATTATGGCACAAAGATGTGAGTATATCAAACCAATATCTCATGATTTGACTTAAGGTCCACTCCACAAGATGGAACCCTTACCTAACACTATTTGGATGGCCAAGAATCAGAGACTAGAGAGCTCAGGGACCTAAGGTAAAACCAAATGCTACTATTCTAAAAGAAAAAATGTAGCCATAAAATAACTCCTAATGACATTTTGCTATACTCAGCCATCATCAGAGAAGCTTCCTCCAGCAGTGGATGTGAAAAAATGCAGAGACATTATGTAGAGAGTAAGAGACCTTGAAGAATCAGTCCTAAAACTCATGTCTCCATCAAATCCCAACCCCTAGCCTCAGAGAACCCAGGGAAAGAGGAGGCAGGAATAATGTAAGAGTTAAAGAGGAAGGAGTACATAAAGAAAAAAAGGCCCTCTATATAAATATGATCAAAGCTCATGTGAACTCACAAAGACTAAGCTGCATGCGTAAGGACTGGCCTGGTTTTGCTCCAGTTCCTTTGTGTATATATTATGGCTTTAGTGTTTTTATGGGATTCTTGACTGCAGGAAAGAGAAGGTCTCTGATTATTTTGCCTTCTCTTGGGCTCTTTTCCTTCTTTTTGATTGTCTTGTCCAATTTGATGTGTTAGTTGTGTTGTATCTGACTATTATATATGATGTAATATTATTATCTCTTTGCCTGTTTGTTTTTTTTTTTAATGACAGGCAGAAAGGGAGTGGATCTGGATGGGAGGGCAGGTGTGAAGTAACTAGGTGGAGTAGAGAGAGGGGAAACCACAATTAGGATATATTATATGAGGGAAATCTACCTTAATTAAAAGGGAAAATAATTTTAAAAAATTAGAAAGCTACTCAATTTATTTCCCTCTCCATTCCCCATTGGGGCATGCTCTGAGAATGCTACTTTATCAGGGTGCAGCACTATGACCATAAGTTAGAACAGCTTACAGAATTAAATCAGACCTAGAAAGACAAACACCATACTTTCTTTATTTGTAGATATTAGATTTTATAAAGATATAAGAAATCATGAAAAAATATGTATGTCATGATAGTAGAAGCAAAGCTGTCTAGGGCAATAAATGTGCACTGGCAGGAGGGGAGGGAAAGAAAAGTAATAGTGGGGGAGTAGGGGAAAGCTTGGTCCAATTATATTATATTCCTGTACAAAAATATCTTTATGCAATCCAGTACCATGTATAATTAATATACACTAATACTGAATAAATACAATATACCTACATAATTCATAGACAGGGAAGACTGGCTCAATATAAATTTCCTATGTATTTTCAAGGAACTAAAGAAAGATTATTCATAACTCTGTACTTGCAATAATCCTAATCTGGAAATGACTATAATTTCCTTCAACAGTAGAATCCAACTTGAAATATAGTCACGCAGTGGAAGCCTATAAAATACTAAGGGTAAATGAAATATTCCTACAGAAAATCATGGAGGAGCAGTTGGAGAGATGGCTCTGTGAGTAAAGTGCTTGCCACACAAGCATGAAGACCTGAGTTCAGTTCCTACCAACACTTGGGTAGGGCCATTGTGCACCTGTAATATCTGAACTGCCAGAATATATATATATATATATATATATATATATATATATATATATATATATATATATATATATATATAAATTTAATTTATATACATATAATTAAAACAACAAAAATCTTCCTAATAAACAATTCTTTCTTTTTAGAAGTTTCATGGGACAGCAGCATTTGGAGAACTCTAGAACAGGATGAAGAAGAGGAGGACATTTAAAGGCTAGTTCTGGTCTCTATCATGATCAGCAGATAACTATAGAATTATGTTCTGGGTATGAAAGTTAATCAAGATGCTTACTTAGGATCTATGATTATTTTTGCCTATATATAATATTCCCTAGCAAATGTTTAAAATTAAATTATTCATCTGAAATCACCACCACAGGGCCAGTATAAAATGAATGAGCAAGCTTTTAGTCAACAGTAAATTAAGTAATTCACCAGATGAATGATCAGAGTTGAGTGAGGGTAGTCATATTCAGAGTCTGAGAGATGCCACTATGATTAGTAAGGCTAAAGTGAGTAGAAAGGGTCCTGATGTTCAACCTAAATAATTGTGGCTCCTCTGCTTTGAACCCTTCTTGCCACCTTCTCTTTGGGGAGTAAGAACAATGAGGCTGTTCTTTATTGAGATGGAACACTAGAACTCAAAACCTATACAAAGAAGTCAAAATGCTAACTGATAGGAGAACATGAAAAGAAGTAAAATTTGATTTTCTGTTTAGTTGTATTTCTGCTTTATTTTTAGCTTTTTAATTGACTACCATTTCTAGAAAAGTTTTTTGTGCCTATAAAAAGAGCTGAACAGAAAGTGCAGAGGTCTCATTCACTCTCTGTGAGCCTCACAAACACTATAAACATGAGAGGATGTTTCTCACATTATCATCTTGGCATCTGACCCAGTTCCTGGAGGCAAATCTAATGAAAGTGTGGGGACTTCTCTGGAGTTGACCCATAGGATTTTTTAATGCACCAAACTACTCCACGTTCAGTCCTTATCAACTGGTCAATTTCCCAGTGTTTCCCCATGAGGGTCACAGCAGCTTCTGACTCCAGAGAACTGTGGATCCTCTACTCACTAGCTTTTCTATAATGAATCTGAAAAGTTGTTGATTTTTCAGTCAGCTGTTCATGTTTTAGATGTGAGAAGTGAGTGACAAGTTCCAAACACTTTTACATGCCAAATTGGAACCTGGAAACAACTGGTTTTTAAATTATGCAACCATACCTTTATCTTCCCTAATAAAAACTCTTAAAAATTATGTAACCATGGACACAATACAAATATGCAGAGTTATATACATATATAAATAGGTATATGCAAAGAGTTTTTTAAAAACCAGCACCAATGTGATAAAATTTAGGAATAAGCAAATTTTAATATCTCTCAGCTTTGGAAACCAAAAATCAAATGCATCTTGTAGTAAAGCCCACATGGCAAATGTTTCTTTGAATCTCATTCTAAATATTTATCCATGTCTAAATCTGATTTAACTCTTTGAGTGACAACTAAATATTTTTATATATAAATATTAATATGGCTAGTTGTAGCCTTTGCTCTTTGAAATGCTTAGACACTAGCTTCTACGTGCCTCTACAGATGCTATACCATCCCTCTACAGAGACATAATCAGATATGTCTTGTTTAAATCAGTTCCCTTAGCCAATAATAAAAGTCAGGTGCTTTTTGCCCAAAACCTATGTCATTGGTCAGATTTTTTTTTTTTATCATGCAACAGTACAACCTTCTTCCACTTCCATCAAGTCTCTGTGGTTTTAGAAAGTGCAAAGGGATTACTCCTTTCTCCTTATTACCCAGAAGAATGGCCCCAGAAAATGTCTTCATTTTGATCATTTGAGGCAATTCTGCCCATTTTTTGTTTGTGCTATTAATAAATATCTCAAGGAACCTTTTGCCATTTTATACAAACAGTTTGTGTTGTGCAGTGAGAGCAAAGGGCTTTTTATAACTGGTTATACTGCTGATGACTTTGAGCAAATAAATTAACACAATCAACCCAACTGACTTGTTTGACAGGAATGCAGTACAATGTTCCAGTGCAGGAGTTGACCCACATGACTCCATTCTCTAAATTTGGGAAATAGTCAGTGTTTTGATGCTAATAGACCTTAAGAAGGAGCATTTTATTTTTTCTGTATGTCACAAGAAATTTTCACAGGTTTGTTCTCTATCATCTATTAAGATAGAAGTCTCTTTAAAAATAGGATTAGTAGAAAAATGATCTGTAACAATATTTAATCAGTGTATGGGATGTTACAGGAAATTACTAGCTAATTATTTTCTATTGCTATGACCAAGTGGTATGTCAGACTTGGAATGTCAATTTTAGCATGTGTGTAGGTGTCTAAACAGATGTATAACATTCATGCTTTTGTCAATAAGGATCAGCATATGACAAAATTGTCACAAGATCTATATTTAACTGACTAAGCTTTATTTACTTCACTCTAAATTCTTCTCACATAGGAGAAAATCAATTATCACAAAGTCCAAAAATAAAAGAGCAAACAAATTTTGTTTTTATTCATTAGGAAAAGCTAGACCAGAATATGATTTTTTTCTTATTGTCACATTTCTTCATAGATTAAAAATAAATAAGATCATATAATACAAGAAAAATACGGTGATAGTTTTTTTTTAATTTATCAGGTTTAGTGCAGATTGTGAGATCTTCAAAGGTAGAGATTCCATTTAATTCATTTTGTAACCTCTGCTTAATCTAGATACAGCAGATAAACAATTACCAGTGTGTTCTTGATAACATGTTAGTGCACTTCTGGCGTTGGAGGACCAACACTGCAACACTGAATTATGATGTCCCATTTACATGTAGCAGCCAGATGAATGGATCATGTCTAAATTTAGCTTGGTATGGTTTATTTTAACTTCTCCAACCTTTCTTACACCAGCACTTTCTTCTGTTTGAGAGACCAAGTGAATGTGGTTGAAGACACTGAGTTCAGATGAGACAGGACTTAAGCCCTAGCCCCATCTCTTACCTTCTGTGTGCCCCTGGAATATTGCTGACTATTGCTGTATACTTCTTTCCTACACATGAAGCTATAATTATTAAAGATTATGTATTTGATGGCAGTTGTGAGTGAGGGGATGACAGCATTGCAGCCATCATAGAGAAGGGTCAGACAGGAGGCAGCAGGCCCTTGGACATTTCTGGAATTAGTGATTTCTCCCCTGCCCATTTTTGTATACACGAGTTTCATTATACATCAGTTTATCAGTTTTATTTTCTCACAGAATCATTCTTATTCAATAATTCTATGTGGCTTCTATTTACTTATTTTCTTATATTTTCCTATATTCTTCTTATACTGGGTTACATTTGTTTTTCTTTTTCACTAATGAAAGCTGGCAGCTTGGATCTTTGATTTAGGATCTTTTCTCATGTGACTAAGAAGCCTTCAGCCATTCTGGTAAGTACTGCCTCTGTTGTGATCCTCTAATATAGATGCATTCTATTCTTTTCTGTTAAATATGTATATTTCCCTTTACACTTCCTTTCTTTTAAACTATATAATACACAATACATTTTATTTGGTTTTAACTACTTGAGGAATTTCAAAGTATTTCTCTGTCACAGATTTCAGTTTATTGTGGCTGTAACATATGTAGGAGTGAATGACTTCAGATTACTTTAGAATAGGTTTTTTTTTTTAACATTGAGTCTTTAATGATATGACCTTTCTATATAAATGCTATTCTATTTTGTAAAAGTTCTATGGCCATGTTTAAATTATCTGTAGCTACTTATTTGTCTAATATTCTAAACTTTCATTCTATTTCATTAGTTGAGGGCATTTCTCTGGTGTTCTGTGAGTTTCCTGATTTTACTGCCTACTTATTAATCATTGAGAGATTTTTATAGTATGTGTTTGTATTCCTCTGTGTGTGGTGTGTTCATGTATGCATATATATGAGTGTGTGTATGAATGTGTATGAATTCGTGTGTGTGTGTGTGTGTGTGTGTGTGTGTGTGTGTGTGTGTGTGTGTGTATTTGTGTATCTGTGTTCTTGGGTGTGATAGTGTGTACATACACATATTCATCTGCGTGCTCCTGAATTTGGAGGTCAGAATTCCATATCGAATCTTTTTCATAATCACTCTCTACTTTTTATCATATAATTTTTATTAATAAAATGCTTACTGATAATTTTAAACGTGAGTATGATGCATTCTAACGCTCCATCTATATTTTATTTCTTTCACCCCTCCCAATCTCATTGCATTCATGGAGTTTTGTTTTGTTTTGGGACCCACTGAGTTTAACTGTAGTTCTCATGTAATATTGGGTTTGGAACCATCTATTAGATCCTAGTAGGCTCACCAGTGGGTATATAACTGGAATTATTACTCCTCATCTTGCAGATTCTATCAGTATCCAAAAGTTTCACAGAAAGGAATAGAATCCACAGCCTGTCACCCACCCCCATGATTGTCTGATGACAGGTCCAGGCTTTCTCAGGTCCCATTCTGGTTTCCAGTGGATGTGTAATGCTAGAAGATGGCATTTCTTGGTCTTGTTGCTTGTCTTTCAGTTCTTACTTTTCACAGTGTTCCCTGGGCTTTGCATTAAGTGGTATAAATGTATCCATTTGTGCAATGGTGGCCTGACTCTTATGGAGATAAACAACAGTTCTATGATGGGAGTTTGAAAACTGCTTCACAGGATAGCACCTATACCTGGGATGGTAGACACAGTTAAAAACAGGTCTCTGAAAAATGTGTAGATCCTAGAGAGGAAGTAGCTGTTATTGTTTAGTTAAAAGATGGCATCAAACTACCATCTAAACACTTATGTTTATACCCATAGGTAAATATACTCTCAGAGAAGTCTCCCTTTGCACTGAACAGCAGTGGATGCAGGGACTAGTAGCTTCAAGGTGCCAGAATAAATGATGGTAAAAGGCTTAGCCTTAAAAAGTATGTTTATTCTACATTATTATTATTATTATTTTGAGACAGAGTCTCTCACTGAACCTGTTGCTCACTGATTTGGCTAGACTGGCGGGTCAGCAAGCCCCAGGAATCCTCCTGACTGTCTCCCAGTGTTGTAATTACAGAGATATCCCTCTTAGCCTGTAACGCGAATCTTAAAGGGTCTTATTAATAAAAACATGGGAGCTAGATATTGGGGTAAATGCTGAAAGATCAGAAAAACAGAACAAGTCACATCCAACCTCATCTTGCCAATTCCTCAGCTGATCTTGTTTCCTCAGACTGAAAGTCTCTGAATCCTCATCCAAATGGAGCTGAACTGCTGCTAAAAGCTAAAAGCTTAACAAGACTCTTGTTCCTGGTCCCCACGCCTTATATACCTTTCTGCTTCCTGCCATCACTTCCTGGGATTAAGGCATGTGTCACCTTGCCTGGCTGTTTCCAGTGTAGCTTTGAACTCACGGAGATTCAGACGGATCTCTGCCTCCTGAATTCTAGGATTAAAGGCGTGTGCTACCACTGCCTAAACCTATGTTTAATATAGTGGCTTTTCTGTTCTCTGACCCCCAGATAAATTTATTGGGGTGCACAATACATCACCCACATTAGCGGGACTTTTTAACATAGGTTCTGGGGACCAGACTTAGGTATTCATGATGAAGTCATAATCACTTTGCTGACTGAGCTATCTCTACATTCCCGAGAAAGACATTTTGTAGTTACCAACAACATTATTAAGAATTTGTCTATTTCTCCTGAAGTTCTATCATTTTCTTCTTTAAATGGTGAAAGCTCTGTTATTAAGTGTACAGAAACCAAGAATTATCATGCTTCTTGATGAATTGTTTCCAGGGTTTGTGAAATGCCTTCTTTATGCTACTGGCAATGCTTTGGCTCTGTTTCCTACTTTTTCTGACACTAATACTGCTTTTCCACTTTTATTTTAATTAGTACTAGCATCATGTGTTTCCTTTTGTCCTTTTACTTTAAAATTTTCTGAATTTTTATGTTTGTAATGATTCTCATAGAAAGGATATAGTTGTAATTTATAAGATTAAAACTATGATCCATGAATTTCTCCATTTCAATTGGTATGTCATTAACACTTTTTACTGCCAGTACAACTTACCATAAGTCTATCATCTTGTCATATGTTTGATATTTATGTATCAATTCTTAGAATTGTATTTCCTTGTTTTCTGATATCAGATTTAATTTGCTATAATATTGAGAAATTTTGTGCCTAATCTTCATGAGATTTGTCAGTTTTTTTCCTTATACCTTTATCTTGTTTCAGGACAAGACTGAGATCAGCTAATATTATACAATAACTTAGGAATAATTCCCTTTGTTTCTATTTTATGTAATAACTTATTATAATTTATAAAAAATTCTTCCTTAAACACTTTACAGAATTCCTTAGTAGATGTATCTAGGCTTGCTGCTTTCCTTTTGTAAAGTTACTCATAACTGATTCACTCTTAGAAATGAAGACCTACTGATATTTCTTTTTTTGTGAGTTTGACAGACTATGTCTTTCAAAGAATTGATCAGGGGGCTGGAGAGATGTCACAGAAGTTAAGAGCAGTTGCTGGTCTTCTAGTGGACCAGCGTATAGTTCTCAGGACCACATCAAGCAGCTCACAACCACTTGTAACTCTAGTCCAGAAAATCTGATGCCACTTCTGGCTTGTGCAGGTACCTCTGCACACAGCACACACACACACACACACACACACACACACACACACACACACACACACACGCATGCACGTGTGCCCGCACACACACACATAAAAAATTTAAAAAACTAAAAAATGTTGCAAACTTTATCTGTTGTCAATGTGTGGGTAGAGACTTGACCACAACATTCACCTATTGTTTTAATGCCCACGCCAGTACTGATGGCTTTTTATGATGCTAGAAATTTCTGTCTTCTTTTGAGTTTCCTTCTTTTTCCCATATAAAAGTTATTTATTTTCTGTGCTTTCTGTGAACTTGAATTCGATCTTATTGTTTCTGTGCTAGATACCTTCCAGTTTACTGCTTTCCACACTAACTTTTCATTTCATTTCTTCTGTTCACTTTGGATTTATTTTCACCTCCTTGCATGGTCTCCTAAAATGTAGAAGCTTTGATTATTGATTTGAGAGTCTATATTGTTGATTTCTTTCCTAACACAGTTAAGTCAATCATGCAATTTTCCTTGTACATTACGTAAATTTGACATGTTTCATTTTCAATTCAATTTAGTTCAAAATATTTTAGAATTTCTCTTGAGATTTGTTCCTGGTTTGTGTGTTATGTACTATTTAATTTCCAAATATTTTGGAATTCTTGGTTGCATTTCCCTTGTCGACTTTCAGCTAAATTCCACTGTGATTTGGGAGACTCCCTCCATGATTCCAGTTTCTTAAACTTGGTATGGTGTATTTTGCCTCATAATATTGGGTCTATTTTGGCTCAATGAAAGCTTGAGAAAAATGAGTATTCTGCTAATAGGTGAAGTGTTCCCCAAATGTCAATTATCTCTGGGTGATTTATGGTGCTGTTGAGCTCTACTGTGTTCTTACTAATTTTCTGTGTGCTGCATTTGTCAAACATTGAAAGCCAGTGAGGTCTCCGATACAATTGTGGGTTCATCTATGTTTTCTTAAAGTTGCATCAGTTTTCGCCTTACATATTTTGATACTGTTGTTAGACATGTTCACATCACAGAGTGTTCAGTTAGTTAGTGAGCTGAATTCTTTCTCATTGTTTAATGTCTATACTTGCCATGCTCATTGCCTTTGTCCTGAGTGAGCTTTATCTGAAACTAAGATAGATATGCCAGGCTTCTATGAATTACCATAGCATGGTGTATTTTTCTCCATCCTTTCCTATTTACAGTTTCTTTCAAAAAAAATATTTGTCTTAGTGCTTTGAGAATTTTGTTTTTTACCACATCTTCCCTCTTCCCTATCTACCCAACTTTGCATATATTTTCTTAACCTATCAAGCACAATTTTTGCTGTTCAAATATTCTCATATGTGTGACCGTCCACTGTTGCTTGGTGGGCTTACCACAGTCTACCCTCAGGGAAAACTGACTGCCTCTCTCCAAGCAGCTATCACATATCAATATTTCATAGGCAAGACATGGAGTCCCATGCCTAACTTCTGTTTCCATCCTGATATTTGATTTAGCTTAATCTTGCACAGGTCTTGAGTTCATACGGGCAGCCACCCTGCTGTGTCAATAAGAAATTTTTCCTGAACTTCAAAGTATGAAGACAAATTGAGAAGAATATTCTGTAAGACATAATAGGAGAAACATTAATTTGGCTAAAGTGCTCTGGTTCACCCATTCCCCTGTCCCAATTCATTCTAAGTTAATGTATAATAGAAGACATTCTAAATAGATAAAGTAGATTCGAACTGCAAAAGCAAAATATACTTTCTTGTAATCTTCTACAATCTCTGTCTCTTACACTCTTTCTGCCCCCTCTTCTCCAGTGAGGGAAGTAGCATATCTTTACAGTTAGAGATTATCAATTCTTTGTCTTTTATTCTCTGCATGTTGGACAGTTGTGGGTCTGTGTTAATCTCCATCTACTGCAAATAGAAACTTCTCTGATGAAGGTTTCCTTACACATATATAGTTATAACTTAGTGAGACATGTGTGGCTGCCTCTTCTGGAGCTTAACTCTCTCTCTGCATATGCCTTTGGTGGTGGCTTGAATAAGATGGCTTTTACAGTTTCTGCTGCTTGAACACTTTATCCCCAGTTCTTCATGTTTTGGAAGGAGTGTTGGGTGGTGTAATCTTGCTGGAAGACATATGTCAATGAGGGTGGGCTTGGAGAGTTTCAAGACTTGTGCCATTTCTAATTTGTTCTCTTTCTACCTCATGCTTGTGGTTCAAGATGTGACATCTCAGCTTGCTTCTCTGGCTCCCTTGCCTGCAGCTTGTTGCTATGCTTCTCTGCCATCCTGGACTCTTATCTCTCTGGAGCCATAAACCCAAACAAACCCTCGTTTTCATAAGTTGTCTTGGTCATGTTGTTTTATCACAGCAACAGAAAATTAATACACCGTCCCTAAGCAATCTCCACATATTTTGGCTTCCTAAATTTCCAATATTATCTCCCCAATAGTAGTACAGCGGACAGCCTTGTTGGGGTGGCTTGAATGAGCATTGTCCCCCTTAGGCTCCGCTGTCTGAACACTTAACCCTCAGTTAGTATCACTATTTGCAGAGGTCTAGGAGGTGTGGCCTTGCTGGAGGAAGAACGTCATTGGGACAGGCTTTGAAAGTTACAAAGATTCTCACCATTTTGAATTCTCTATATCTGCCTCCTGTCAGCTCTCAGCAGTTCCTGCCGCCATGCCCAGTGCTCGCTGCCCCACTTCCTCACCCTGATGGTGATGGAATCTTACTGCTCTGGAACTGTAAGCTCCAAATAAATCCTTTCTTCTGTAAGTTGTCTTGGTCATGTTGGTTTATCATAGCAATAGAAAAGTAAGTGATCCATGCTCCTAATCTCTCATGACTGAGCAACGTACTTGTAAATTTTGAGTGTTGATCATGACCAGTTAGAATAACTTCTTTTCATTTTGAATTTGCCAGCCAAATTTAATGTATGAGTCAATTTTTATGTACAGAGATCAATATAATTATGTGATTTATTCTGGTGATTTCTTAATTTTCAAACCTCCTTTAGTCCTTTGGTGAAGACTTCCTAGTTGTATATGTTCATATTGCTATTTGTATATTGTGTGCTTCTGATTTCAGGGTGTGTACCAGCATATCTGTGAGAATACATAGGAAATTATGGGCAGCAAAGGAATGTAAGTAATTAAGTCTACTTTAATTCAAATTATTTGAAATCTCTGAAATAACATATAAGGCTCAGAATGATTTTTCAAGTTCATTAGGTCTCATCCATTCACCTAACCATAGCCTAATGTGTTCACTACATCATGGGTATAATAATGAAATAGAAGATGGCGCTTGCTCACTAAGTTTTGATCCAATCAATGTAAAATGAACAGGTCAGAAGATGGAGCCTAACTAAAAAATACTATAGAGTGTTCAATCACTTTTCTTTGTGGTAGAATAATGGCACACAGCAAGATGATGAAGTTTTAAGCACTTAGCATGTAATGACATTATTGGGCTCACAAGAGTTTAAATACATATATACACCCACAGGTTTTCAAGAAGCAATTACTCATGGTGCTATGTTTTATACATAGCGACAGAAAAAGCCAAGTTTTCTTTTTTGATCTCTGTTTAATTTTTCTTTATTAACTCAGTATCCTAGGAGGTTTTGATTCCATTTGGATGACATTTAATAGTAGTATCTTTCTCAGTCCTTGACTAATTACTGGAAATGGTGGTAGAAGGAGGGGGTGGGAATTGTAAGTGAGGGGTTAGAACATCACAATTTGCATGGAATGGAATAGCTTTGTAATGAGGCCTGTTACATTTTTATGAGGCCTAATCTTTGACCTTGAGCTGAGCTCAAGAAGACATGAAGAAAATCAACCAAACTGAAGCATATTTAATGAATTAACAGACTCAAAAATATTCAATCAAAATCCTCTTTACAAAGCATGATTTAAAGGCTTTAAAAACAAAGACCTATGATGTCTACTAAAGCTTAATGAAGGTCCTTTTTTCAGTGAGTTCTATGTTCCCTGCTACCCAGTCTACCTTAATGAACCACCAAGTACTTCACTATGTCTAAGTCAGTAGTTACATATTGCCAGCAGAGGAGATCAAAGAGAGAGGTTAAAGTGTTTTTCCACAGTCACAAAGACAGATGAGATCCAAGTTCTGGCTAAAACAAAGATAAGTCTGTAAGAATAAACTTGCTAGAATAGTTTTTTTTTTTTTTTTGGTATAGAGTCCCATGTAGCCCATGCTAGCTTCAAACTCACTATGTAGCAGATGCTCTTGAACTCCTGACTTCACATACCTAGTGCTGAAATTACAGCTGCACACCCCCATTCTCAGTGTGTGTGATACTACAGATTAAACATGGTTTCTCAAACATTCTAGCAAATGAGCTACACTCCCAGTCTCTATTTCAATCACATAAAATCTTTAAAAAAATACTGTGTTTGATGTAAGCATTCCCCAAAGGGTTTGAAGAATTTCAACGATGGAAATGAATATAAATTTCTCTATTTCAAAAGTCCCTCCCAGGATTTTGTTTTTCTAATGCTGTATTTCTTGTAAGGTTAACACTGGGTTTGCACAATAGCAAATCCATGGCCCTCGTGATGCAATCATCTCCCTTTGTGCTGACTGTAGGTGTGCTCATGATATTTCCACTCTGCTCCTCAGTCTTTGAGGGTGAACTTACTGAGAATCTCCTTGCAATCTCATGCTCACCCTCCATTCTGAAATGAATCTTCTTCTGTCTCTGTTCACATTTTTATTAAAGAAACTTTTGGAAAGCTGCATACAGTTTTCTTACTCCTTTTATTCTTTTGCTTTCAAAAGAAGTTACTACAAACTCACATACTTCTATCACTCAGTTCCTGTAGTTTTTCACTTGGAATCAATGGACTTGAACCTACTTGCCTTCTACACAAATTTAAGTCCCCAGGGCTTACATTTAGTAAATTACTGTACTCATTTATTTGTTTCTGTGAACTGTTGTGTTTTATTCTCTAGTCTACCATTTGGTGGTTTTATATTTTTCTCTCAAATAACATTCAAATGCCTTTTTCTGTGTCCTCTGGTTAGTCACACAAAATCTTCTAAATTCCACTCCCCAAATAGTAAAGTCCTGAGTAGTTGCAAAGCTGAAAAGTAAGATCCTTTCCTCCCTGTGTTTTCTTGCTTAACATCAGACATTTAAAACATGAAAAAAAAACCATAGTTTTCCAAGTCTTTGTATATTAACTGATTCATTTAAACATTATTTATATGTGAGGATATGTATACAACAAATATTTCTGTCATCTCTCTGTGCTGTTCTGTTTCTTTAAAAAGTCTTGTGACTAAGAATGTAACTTAGTTTTCAGAGTGCATTCCTAGTCTGTACAAGGCCCTAAGATTGATCAACAGAAATTCAATTCTGCTACTTAGGTAGGCTTGGATATACTGTGCATAATATAATAAATTTGGTTCTTCTTAATTGATTCTTTTTGGAGCAATAGGAAGAGGCCAGGTACAATGAAGTTTACTGGAACATAGCAAACATAGACATCATTAACTTTTTCTTAGAATAAGGTGCTTTTTTAAAATGGGAAGTTAAAAGAAAAGCCACAGAAATAAATATAATCTTAGATATAACATAAGGGATAAAGAAATGAGCAAATGTATATAAGAATGGCAAACAGCAGCTTATATTTGATGTGGTGCTAACATTCGAGCTGCTTTGAAATGATAGCATGATTCTGACAGCCAGAGAATGCATGGAGCATGTGTGGCCAGCAGACAGTGACTGCAGTTCATTTAATTGGCATTATATGTAAAGTGCAGCATGGAAGGTAAGTTTGTAAAGGTGAGATGAAAGGAAAGCAGAAGGTGCCAGAAATGAGGGGAAAATCCTCCTCCTGTTCTTTGGCAAATAATAGCCGTGGAGTTTTAAATTATTTGAAAAACAGAAAATCCTTGTTTTATCTTTTTTTTCTCTTGGCATTTCAAAAATGGATGGAGGATTTCAAGCAGACAGGAGACTGGGAATGTCAGTACTTTAGCTCCAAGGGAAAATGGGAGCCAGCCTCTTTGATGCATTCCATCTTTGATAAGAATTGAATCAGAGATTCTTACACAAATGTGAAAGGTTCATCTGAAGGTGGCCCTGAGCCAGCAAAGGAGAAATCCCTAGAAATAGAAGCCCAAGGTTTGAATCTCTTATGCATTCCTTGAATTTAGCATACAGTGTCACTAGGAAAGAATTTGGAATTACAAGTATGTGCATATTCATATTCAATTCTATGAATTAAGATGTATTTGTGACTTACAATTTGTACTGTTTGAACTATGTACCACTGTAACTCTGTCACCACCTGGTGACAGATTGAGAAAATTTTAGCTTGTTTATGAGGCATTAATTTATAACATCATATGTAGAACCTCACAGCTTCATATGACAAGGAGGATGACATCTATAGAGAAGGCATTTTTGTTTCCAATGGTGCATGAGGGGAGATGAAACATAATTTTACATAGCATTCTGTCTGCAACATTGAATTTATTTTTCTATAGATAAATTCCCATCTGTTGCAGGTTAAGCGTCTCTAATCCAAAAAATTGAAATCCAAAACACTCTGAAATCTGAAACTTTTTTCAGTGACTTAATGTGCCAAAATTTCCAGACTTTAGAGCATTTCGGATTTGCAGATTATAGGTGCTCTCTTCAAGGTGGCCAGCAAGCAGAGGCAGAGAATGCGAGCACTCACGTTTCCTTCTATTGATTTCATCCAGGCTCCCATCTACGGGATGCTGTCATCTGCATTCAGTGTAAGGCTTCCTCTCTTAATTTAACCTCTATGGAAATGGAAATGCACACACACACACACACACACACACACACACACACACACACACACACACGCACAGAGGTTCTTCTCAATCCATCAAGTTCACAATCAAAAGTAATAAAGAAACCTACCTAAATTATTTCTTTGCTTCATAATACTGAATATTGTCATGCCTCAGTTTCTTGTAAATGTCTTTTCTTCTTTTGCATGTGTGCATGTGTGTGTGTGTGTGCATGTGTGTACATGTATGTATGTGTCTGCTGACTGTGTGTGTATTTGTTTACACGCACATTTGTTTGTTTGATTACATGTATGTGTGTGATGGTCAAAGAATAACTTTGGGTGTGGGTTCTCACCTTCCATCTTGCTTTTGATATGGTCTTTTTGTTTTTTTCTCTGTGTAAACCATGGTAGCTGGCTCATGAGTATCTAAGAATTCTCTTGTCTCTGCCTCCCATCGTCCTATGGGAATGATGGGATAAACACTTACATTGCATATCCAGCATTTATGCGCATTCTGGAAATTCAAACACAAGTCTTTATGCTTGTGTGACAAAAAATTTACTACTAGGCCTGAGCTCATAAACTTGTCTTTTTATTTTTCACTATAGAAATGTAAATTATTATAGGGTTTAAACCTTTTAATGCTAGATTTTACTTTTTTGATGACAGCATTAGTATTTTATATCAATTACCCATGTAGGCAAGATTCATTAAGCCCAAGAAGGAAGACAGGCAAGGAGGAGAATAAAGAAAATCAAATGAGATGGGTTCGTTTAGAGGGCATTTAATGATCAGATGAAAAGTGTTGACTTATCTATTTTTCAGAGCAAACCTAGGTTTGTGTAACAGGCAGACATAGAGGTGAGATAGACCCGACTCTTGTTTTTGATAGCTATTGCCTAGCACTAATTAGATTGTTCTGTTTTAATTGCTAACAAGTCTTTTGAAATTCTACATTATTTTTATGTGTATTAGTACTTGTGGCAGTGTCATAATTATAGCAGGAACCTCATAAATTTTCCACACCTGGTTTAAGGCCTATAAGAAGAAAATCCTTCTGAAAGAGAAGAGACACTATTGTCCTACTGTCTCACCCAACTGCTTTCGGATCAAAGGTTAATGGAACTAAGTTTCTACTGAAAAGACTAATATTGCAGAGTTGCTAGAAGTTCTCTCTTCATCCAATCTAAAAGATTTACACTGACTGATGCTGAGACTGGTGGAGGAAGACTTTGCATGCTTTGTTTCAAGACCTAACAGAAACAAGGGTTTAGATATCCATTCTAAAGCCATGGGCAGGTAAGTTCTATTTTCATGTTTCAAAACTATTGGAGCATATGTAA